AGGGACCTCAAAGATCATCCAGTTCCAACCCCCCTGCCATGGGCAGGGACACCCTCCACTACACCAGGTTGCCCAAAGTCTCATCCAACCTGGCCTGGAACACTTCCAGAGATGGGGCAGCCACAACTTCTCTGGACAACCAGTAGCTACACCGATTTTTAAAAAGCCGCTTGCTTTATGCCAAACACCTCACCCGCTCAATAGAACGGGCTTTCCTTTGTTCCTTAAACGTACTTCAACCTGCACTCAAAGATCGATTCATCTCACTGGGACGTTCCCGAAAGAGTCAGCTGTTTCTCCTGGAATTGCAGCAACCAGCTCCTTTTACCCTCTCCCATTCCTGAGGACTTTTCCCAATCCTCTTCCTTTTCACAGCTTGTTTTCCAAAGTGCACCAGGAAGAAGTTACGCAGAGGCTGCCCGAGCAATGGGATGGGTGACGAAGGCTTTAGGAGAGGGGGGAGAACTTTTCCTTGGCCTCTAACACAGGGTGCATGATGAGTTGGAAGAAAAAGCAAGCCCAAGAGGAGCCCTTTCCTGGATGAATTAAGGAATGAATTAAGGAATTTAGCAGCCTAAAGCCAGGACATCGAGGCAGGGCGGGAGCTACAAGTGTTCACAGGCTGCGCTGAGGTCAGCGCTCTCCATCAGCCCATCCTTTGGGAAAGGATGTTGGGTTTCTTGGGTGGCACCACGTTCTCCTTCAAGGACAGCAGAAATATCACTTAAAGGCGAATTCCTGCCCACCCCCTTTGTGTTTTTTTTCCACTGGGACTCTGAAACATTCCTTCATTAAAAATAAAAAAAAAAGCCCCAAAACTGCCACGGATTGACGATTCCACACAGGCAATCCCGTCTACTTCAGAGGGATTGCATGGCTTTTCTTGGATACGAGACTGGGTCCCTTTAATTGTTTATAGGATTTTTAAACAGTTTTAAAACTTCCCACAGTTCAGCAGCTAAAACCAGGTTTTACAATTACCAAGTTACCAGGTTTTACAATTTTAAAACCAGGTTTTACAATTAAAAAAAAATTTGAAATCCTTTATTAATTATTTTAAATCCTTTAACTTATTAAATAGTAATTAAAAATATTTTTAAAATGTTAAAATAATTAGTTCCACAATAATATATATAAAAAAATACAAATACATTTATATGGCTATTAAGCAGGGGTGGAGCATGCAAAGCTTTATCTCCTGCCGATGTCAATCCCGGGCAGCGTTCAGTTTGGAAATGCCACCAGATGGATTCCCTGAACACCGTGTTGTGCTCCGATCCGTCAGCGTGATGGGCACCAACCCCACAGTTCCATCCATGGAAATTTAATACAACTCTTTTTTTTTTTTTGATGAAACCACTTTACTTGAGTCATAATTTTACTACGTTGCAGGATTTCAGAGTTATTT